TAAAATTTTCTTACATTTTAGGGCTTTTTCTTCCCGTATCTAATTTTTAAATGTTTTAAGTCTTACTTTTGACACTGTAATTCATCTGAATTTTTAGTGTATGGTGTAACACAGAAATTCTACTTCTTTTACCCTTTCCACATGAATATTTTTCCTAGTACTTTTAATGGAACATGTTCTTTTTCCCACTAGATTATCATGTTGCTTCTTTTATATGTGAAAGTCTTAGATATGCGTGCGTCTGATCCTTGGCTCTCTTGCTCCATTTGTAACTTGTACCAATCCTGCAATAATTGCTACAGCTTTATAATTCTTGGTATCTGGTAGGACAGATTCGCTCTCCTCCTCTTTGCTCTTCAGGAATTTCAGAACTGTTCTCTACTATTATTGACGTTTCGCTCTGCTATATAAACTCTAGAATGGGCTTGTAAAGTTCCATAAAAAACTGTTGAGATTCTGCTTGGAGATGCATTAAGTTTACAGAGCAAGTTGAGAACTGACATCACATCATAAGATGGGATATTTCTACATTTACTTAGGGTCTACTTTAACGTCTCCCATTATAGAATTAAAAAACAAAACAAAACAGGTCTTGCACATCTTTTGTTCGATTTATTTCTAGGTAACTTAGTTTTGTTGTTTTTGTAAAAGTTGTTTTAAAAATATTACGTATTCTAATTATTTGATAATAGTCCATTGACATGTCACTGACTTTTTTGTGCTTTCATCTTACAACCAGAATCTTGGATAAACTATGATTGCTGGCAGATTGTAGTCTTTTGCGTCTTCTAGGTAGATAATCGTATCATCTGCAAGTAATAAGCATTTTATATTCTCCCTTTCAATCCATATATTATTGAGCGTAGCAGAGATCAGTTTCAAAAAGAAGTAGTACTAACAGGCATCCTGGTCCCAGTTCCCAGTTTTAAGGGGAATGTTTCCTCATATGGGATGAGGCTACTGCTTTTAGTTACTTGTGTTTTTTGTTTTCCTATAGATACCACTTACCAGTTTAAGGAACCGCCTCTCCGCCCCCGCACCGCTTTAAAGCAGGAATGTGATCAGCTTTTTCTAAATTTATTACTTTTTCTCCTTTAGTCTGTTAATAAAGCAAATGGCAATGACAGATTTTCTAATATTAAGCCATCCTTACATTACTAGGATAAGCCAAATTTGCTAATGTCTTTTACAAACATCACGGAATCTGATTTGGTAATATTTTGCATAGTATTTTTATATTAATATTCATGAGTGAAATTTGCTAGTAACCTACTCTTGTATATTTTGTTATATGGATTACACTGACTTCATAGAATGAGCTAGAAGATACAGATTTTCCCCATTATCTCAAAAGCTTTCTATGTGGTTGAAATAATTTCTTCCTTAAAAGTTTGGAAGGATTCACTTGTAAAGGAATCTGGACCCAATGTTTTCTTCGTGGACTTTGAACTCCTGCTTTGATTTCTTTAACAGTTATGAGATTATTCAGGCTAACTTCTTCCTCAGTTAGTTTCCTTATACTTTCCAAAGATTAGCCCCACTATTTTAAGTTTTCAAATTAAGTTGTTTACTGTTGATAGCATTTTCTTTCAATGAAAAAAAATCTTTGCTGTGTTTGCATTTTCATTTATAATAGATAGCATTTATGCCTTCTCTCACTTTTCATCTATTCAGAGCTGTATCTGTTTTGTTAGCATTTTCAAGGAACAAGCTTTTGGTTTTTGTTTCTATTATATTGATTATTTTTATTATTTGATTGATTATTTTATGTTTACTTTCAGTTTATTGTTTTTTTCCCCTAACTTCTTTAACTGATCAGTTTTAACTTTCCTTTTTCTAGCAAGCATTTAGTTTATAAAGTTCCCTGGAAGAACCAATTTTGCCACGTCTTCTCAAGTTTTGGTATGTAATGTTTTTACTATTACTCAGTTACCTAAGTATTATTTCTTCATTTTCTCCATTATTTAAAGGGCATATTTTTTCTCAATTATGAATATATACATATTTAATCTTTCTGTTCTAACCAGTTAGAACATATAATCGGTATAACTATACTATGTAATTTTCTGCAGTTTATGGCTCAATTTTTATAAATGCTCCGTATGTACTTGAAAAGAACTTGAAAATGTCTTAATTGTTGTATGCAGACATCTGTATGTCCACTGGACTGAGCTCATTGTTTTTTTCAAGCATTCTGTAACTTTGCCAATTAAAAAATTCAATAATATGAGTTGAAATCTTCCACCCTGATGGGAATTTGTTTTTTTCAGTGGCTCTAACAATTTTTGCTTTATGTACTTAGGGAGTATTTTATTCAATACATATATGCTTAGAATTATATCACCTTTTTGGAGAACTGAATCATTTATCATTGTGTAGAAACACTCTACTCTTGGTGGTACTAATTTTTTCAAGATGGGTCTAAAATCAGTTTTGTTTGATATTAGGGAGAGCTACCATAGTTGTAGCCTTACTGTTTTTTGCATCATATATATTTCCTCATAGTTTTACTTTCAACTTCTCTATGTACATATATTTTAGATTTATCTTTCTGTAAATCTTACAGAGCCAGATTTCCTTTTAAAAATCTATACCTTGCTTTTAAGTAGTAAACTTGCTCCACTTACATTTATTATGATTAATGATACACATTGTTCAAATGTAATTAGATTTATTTCTACCATCCTATCTTTGGTTTGGAATTTATACACAGTATTTTCTTTTAATGAATAAACTTGACATTTTATGACCGTACATTTAACAAAGTTAGTCAGTGTCTTGACACTCCAACAATAAAATAGAATACTTCAGCTCCAATTTTCCCGATCTCAATTTTCTTCCTACTGCTGTCCAGATTTTGTTGATTTAAAACAGAAAAAAAAAAAAGGCTTCATCTATCTATTGATTTGGTTTATTTAGATCTACCTAAGTGTTTACCATTTTATTTGCTCACCAGCCTTTTTTGTATCTTAGATCATTTGGGGATCATTTTCTTTCTCCTCGAAGCACTTCCTTAGAGTAGAACCCTTGATCATGAACCCTCCTTTAAAGAGTATTTTCAACTGCTCTCATTCTAAAAAAATTTGTTTTTTACTTTCTACATAATTTCAGGTTGACATTTTATTTTCCAGTGCTCTGAAAACAATATTTCACTGCTTTTACTGTTGCTACTGAAAATTCAGTTGTTAGTCTACATAAATTTATATTCTGTATGCAGAATATTGTGCTTCTTAAATACGTTCCATCCTTGGGAGGTTTACAGTACTGCCTCTTTAAATATTGCCTCTCTTCCATTCTTTCCTGTTGGGTCTTCTTTTCATTTTCTGTAACTCTTGACCTTCCTTTCACATTTTCCACTCCCTTATCCCTTTATTTATTTGGGAATGATTTTTCAGATATTATCTTTTGGTTCTCCAGCTCTCTTTTCACCTGTTAATCTGCTGTTAATGCTTCCATTGAGTTTCAAATTTGATCAATTATATTTTTTATTTTTGGGTTTTTTAAATTTGTTAATTTCTCTCAAACTTCATCGTACATATTTATCCTGGTAAATTTTAGGTGTGTAAACATTTTATATAGAGCTGTTTTATATTTTGTATCTGAGAATTCTAATACTTGCAAACTTTTAAAGGGCACGTCTCTATTTACTGTTTTTGTTGGCTTTCATTCAAGACAACTTGCTGTCGCTCAAGTAGCTGGTGATCTCTGATAGTGTATGACTTGATCTTAATCTGTGGAAACCCTACATTCCCAGCCTGGAGAAGCTTTCATTCAGATAGTATTTGATTCCACCGGTATAGAGTGATGTGCAAAATGAAACTTGAATTCCTCCTAGAGGATTTCTGGAACAGAACATAAATTCTACTGCTATTCCAAGGTTTGTTACCTTCATAATGGTGTTGCTACAGACATCTGTCCTTGGCAACTACCTCCACTTCTGGGTGTCTGCATTTCCAGGCCAGCTCCCTGCCGTTTTAGCTCTCACCCTCCCACTTCCTGCTTCTCTGGCCTGCCCTGTGGGCTCAGCTTCCGGGCCCATCCTCTGACTATTCTCACCCTTATTCTGGGATCCTCCCTAATCCTTAGGTGCTGAAGCCCTCGTGGGGCTAGATTCATGCTCCAGATTGTTCATTTGTTTTGGGGTGAGGGGCCGTCTGAGCCCACTCGTACCTTTAATAAGCAGCAGTGCCTCATGTTATTTGTTGTACTGGGTGCCTGAGAGTGTCCACTTAGTTATGACACTAAAAGCAAAAATTATGCAAGATTTTTGATTCCTACAAGTTACTTAAAAACTTACCTCTATTTATATATGTATATGTTTATATACATGTTTATAAATACATATTTTTATATACATATATACATATAAAGCTTCTATCTCAGAGAAACCCAAGAGCTCCCAAGACAAGCTAGAGGCAAGTGAGAATTCTAAATTAGGACTATGATCCGGTGACTGGCATCTGCTCCTTGGCTTCCTCACACTCACCTCAGTTGCTTTGGGAGAATTAGCAGCACCTGTGAAAGTTCTGTTAGATTTGCATCTACCGGGCAGCTGTTACCCAGTCACCACATAATGGCGATTTCCATTATGACCTTCGCTTGTGTTACATAACCTCAAACAAGAGGAAAGTTCATACAAGACTGGTGCTTGCCCTTTAGCGTTAATGCACAGCATTCTTCATGTATGGAAACTTCGGTGCCCCCCCCACTTTTCTATATTCAGTGTCTAGCACACAGTAGGCACCCCATAACCACTGAATGAAAGATGCTACTAATCTTACAGGAGCAAATCCAAAAACTTCCCCATTATTACCAGTGAAGTAGACATTTTGGTCTGACTCTTAATGATTTTGCCTTTCCCGAGCACAAAAAGTATTTGCAAGAAGGCTAATAACTGAAGTTAACTAGTCTCTGAGATATTGGATATAATAAAGTGAATACATATTTTGACCAATAGGAAGTTTCCAAAAGGAAATAATACTTAAAAACAAACTTACAAATTACAATCTATTTAAACTTTAATTTGTGCATTTGTGGTAATTTATGACTGCAAAACACTTTTTCTTAAAATGACATAAAGGCACATTTCATTTGAATGCATAGTGTACCATTCTAAAATATCCTAATTTCCTTACAAAGTGCTTGAGCAGTCACTTACACATACAGTAATAGCAAAATATATTTACACTCTATGGAGTTTAAAAATTTTTAACCTAAAATATATATATTTTAAAAACTACAGAAAAAATTAGTGCTTTCTTCAGCTTAATTGTGTGAATATACCCTGCCCTCTAATTATTTTTAGTGATTGACTTCAATTAAAAAAAAATTCTGTACACTGTGTAGTTACAAAATGCTATGACAGTTTTTAATGCTAAAAAGTCTATTTTAGACATTGCTCTCTATGCATATTTGAGAACCAGAAAAGGTGAGCAGACTGTACCTCAAAAGTATTTAGTGTTTTTTTTTAATGTTGTATTAACACTGTTTACATTAAGAGCAGACATTTAAGCTAAGATCCTCTACTGTCCTTTACCAAGGAAGTTAACTGGCATTTTAAAATAATTTTAAACATAGCACTCCCTCTTTCTGTAAGATTTCCTCCAAAGGATCATGGGTAATAATCAATTTGTAAGGAAACAGGAATTATCTGTGAACAATTTTAATTGTTCTCAGAGTACAACAAAAACATGCCAACACATCCTGGTAAGGCTGAAGAATTTATAAATGCTTTAAGCTCAACTGTCTTATAATCAGTGTGCTTTCATTTTCTTCACAGGATTTAAACTTGAGCAATTTTAAAGACATGAGATCATGGTGACTGAACTGTTTAACTCAGTATGACTAGTTAACAACTTGTTATTCCTGAGGTATGATGACCCTAACATGCTAATAAGCACAGAATCAACGATGGTGTTATTGAACTGAGGAAAAACAAAGTCATCGGCTAGGAGGGAAAATAATTAAAACAAAACGAAACAGAAATAAAAACAAACTCCAGGCAAGTAGAAAAGTCATGGCCTGCAAAAAGACTCTTCTATAAGAGCATTAAAAAAGCCACAATGGATCCTCTGAACAGTTGTAAAAAGTATTTGATCAAATTATTTTTGAGACTTTTGAGGTACAGCTTTAGTGTTATAATAAGTTTTATAAAATATAGACTGTTTTATCAAAAATATTTATACATTCTGTTATAATATATTGCTTTTGCCCTCAGTAACTGCCAATATAAAATCTGGATCCAGTGGCCTAAAATGTACAAATGCACTTAATGTACATGCTGGAGTCTGAGGTGTCTGCTTGGCCACTGTACAAAGTGATGAAGTGGTGAAATTAAATAATAAACCTACAGCACAGAATACATTACAACTTGCACATATACATGTTCACAGCATGTATACAATGATAATCCCTATGTTTTAACAAAGATATAGTTCTCTTCTACAGTAGACACAAGAAGATGAACTAGGTTGATATCAAATGTACAATGAATATCAAAAAAGGAGTAATCAGTTCACTGATTCTGGAAGAAGGTAGGACTGAACGTACTGAGTAGCTAGACTTTGGGAATGCATACAGGTAACAGCGTCTTGGTACAGGCTGGTCGTAAGTCCTCATTCTTAACATTTTAAGTAAATGCAGATGTAGAGTTGTTCCTGTTTGTTTCACCACGGTTGGTTTAAGAAACAAAAAAGTTGTTTGGCAAGCAGCTCTGTTGGAAAGCTATGAGGCTCTGTTACATGGTTGGTAAAGGTAAGGAATAAAATTTTTCTTCTAATAAATATAGAAAATTTATAATACAAGACATCAATTCATTTCGTTTAAAAAAAAAAGGCCCCAAAATGTGCACAAACTACCATTACATTTTTTGATATTACAGTAATTTCTTTAAACAAAGAAGAGCATTTGCCTTATTCAAACAAAATCACACTGTGTGTGGATGGCAACGGCACCCCAGCCCTCCTTCCTCTTCCTGGAAACGCAGCTGAGGGCAACGGCTCCTCAGCCCCGCCCCCACTCCGGGCGGGCGCTCGGTGGAGCTCGGGGCTGCAGAAGGGTGTGTTTTGCTTTGTTCTCCTTTCTAAAAAGTAAGACTATTGATTCAAAAGTCTTCATCTGTGAGAGATTTTCACGGCCAATGTTCATTCAGCTTAAATTCCATGAAACTGTTTCCAGTGCTCGATTTACATTGAAAATACACTGAGAAGCCACTTTTCAAGAAGGTGTTAGAACAGTACTTTTAAACACATCTTCATATGTTTACAATGATTCAGAAGCTATTGGTGGCAAATGAAGGGCTGCTATTTTTAAGAGGTCTGCTTGCGAGTCGGTCTCCTTTGTTTCACAGTGTATAGGAACTCAACACCAATCAGCGATGTAGTCAAAATCTCTGAACATTTCCTGCTCCTCTTCTGAAAGTATCCTCGGTTCTCGAGGGGGAGTCAGAATAGGTGCTTCTGAGGTAAATTCATCATCAAAATTACTGACATCTTCCCGGCCTCGAATGGTAGGTACAAACGGCGGCTTTACTTTTTTGTCCATCAGAGCACTCCAATCAATTAGCTGCATTGCAAAATATAAAATGACCAGTTTAGCTTCCTACTCTTAATTCCTATAGTTTCATTAAAAAAAAGAATTAAACTTTCATACTTACTCGGAAAAATGGGTGCTTTTTTACATCCTCTGCATCTTTCTCACCAGCTCCAAGGCGCCGCTCAGGATTTCTTCTTAATAACTAACACAGCATAAAGGAAGAAATTTAAAATAAAACCCGGGACTTCACTGATAAGGAGTTTTAGACCTTGCAAAGTTTAGACGCTTCTTTTGACATGTGTTTGCCTAAACCATGCAACATCTACGACTGAAAAACAACTTCTAAAATTCTACTGAGAAATGTCTTCAATATAAAAGAAGTCAAGGAATTCAGAAACCACTGATTCTTACCCTTCTCATGATTGAGATGGCTTCTGTAGATAAGAACCTTGGGTACCTTACTTCATCGTTTACAATACTGTCAAACACTTCCTCTTCATCATCACCAGGAAAGGGAGACTAGAAGAAATATCTCTGAGTCAGTCAAACTGCATTTTAATACAGTAAAATCTTACCTATCTGAAGTTGTGAAGTACAACCAAGAACCAGGTAGCGGGGAAAAAAAGAAAAAGGAAAAACAAAAACAAAAAACCAAATCCACCAAAACACCAAGCAAGTAAGGACTACACAAAGCCACAACAGACGCACAGAAGATATGTATCTATTATCCAGAGATACACCATTTACTCCTGCGGAAATCTTCGTGTGGAAAGACAGAAGGAAACGGGTAAGGCAAATATGGTATTATGTGTTACTGCAGAGGGAAGCACAGAGTTTGCGGAAGTTCATCAGACATGGACGTGCTTTGAATTTCACAGCCAGTAGCAAATTAATGACGGCAAAACACAGAGACTGTGGTGTAATGATGGCACTGAGAAGCAACTGCCAACAAAATTAACCCGAAAGGAACAAAAGAGCACACAATTACAGGCATATTTAATGCTCTGTACACAATAGGTCTCAGGGCAGTTCAATAAGCAGAATATTAAACTGTTGCCCATAATGACAATAATGACCCCGAATCATAAAGAAGTAGTTAAGTAACATTCACTGTAACAATTTGATGTACACAGGCATGAACTCTCAACCACGCTGGAAATGTGGCCGTGAAGCATGACTTACTACCTCAGAATCTCAGATGACTCAGATCTGGCTGCTTGCTTCCTGTCAGTTTCAGTTATTAAAGAAAAAGAACCCAGAGCCAAGCGGAAAGCACTATTAGCGGAGAGCGCGATCTCTGCCCCGAGCAATCTGTGAAAGTGAACTCAGAACCCAACTTCCTAACGCTGGGCTGCTAATCTTACTGCTCACATCTAAGAAAACCTCAAACTTTTCAGTCATCTAACCTTAGTTATGATTTGCTAAAACCTGGTTTCATCAAGTTTGTTGTATCAAAACGAAGTTTGCTCATTCACTCATTCAAAACACGTAAGTCAAATACCTGCTGTACGGGATAACATAAATTTTTCTGAGATTGAGATCGTAAGTTAGGGGAAAATTCTATTTCACAAGGATTCTCCATTAGAACTTCAAATGGTAACACAAGGCTCTTTTGTCTCCTATTTGATCAGTCAATTCTGTATTTGAAAACTAACACTACAAGTCTCTGAACAGTGAAGATATATCTATGTATTTGTTAAGCTGGTAAAGTTCCTTTTTCCTACAAATAGATTATAAACAAACAGGGCTCACAATGAAAGGCCAGCAAACGTGCTTTAAGCACAGAGAAAAAGAACCCTGTAGTCTGCTCAGCCATCAAAGCCCTCACTCCAGTATCTGAGGTTGCTTCCAACTCCGCTGACACTTTCACTCTCATTCGGCACAGAGAAAGGGGCACTGATGCATTAGTTGATTCCTAGAGTCTTCCAAGTCCTCAAAACTCAGACAGATACAAATACAAACTTGAAAATGCACAATGTATCCAGTGAGTTTTCAATCATTTGTAGTAATAGAGGAATCAGATATAAAGTTTAACCGAACCTCACTTTTATAACATTAAAAAAAGGTATTGCTTACATCTCACCAGTGCTATGGATGTATGTACCAATGAGTTTTAAGCTTAGTTCTTTTCCTAACTACACTTTCAAAAAGGTGCTAAAAAGAAATGATGTTGCAAAAAGCAATTGTGAAGAAATAGCCAGATTCATTGTCTTTCATCTCCTAGTAAGTGAGAGCTTCATCAATTAGGAGCTCTTTTAAAAAAAATATGGAACAGGAGCATCCCCATTTGTCCACTGTCAAGTTCCCCAGACACACAATTAAGTGGCTCTCGATTCTATAGTATTTTGCAATAAACTCACATTTTTGCATGTCACCTCTAATATGGCAAGTAAATTTTAAAAAGCAAGCACATAATTTTTGTTAACTTAAATCTCATACATAATTGAATACTACATTTAAAAAACAAAGAAACAAAAGTGTTACTTAAAAAAAAAGAAGTTCAAGTGTGCCAGAGCTTACAGAAGCAACTATTATGAGCACTTTTGGAAAGTAAAGACCACTGTGGATTAGGGATAAAATGTATCTTTCCATCTTAAAGCACCACACACTTTTCTAAACAGGTGAAAAATTCAGATCTGAATCCTTGGTCTGAATAATAGAAACAAGTTTGGGTGGATTCAATACCCTATTCCTGGAGGCAGCAAAGCACAGAGACAGGTGAAAATCTCAGCCCCACTGTATGAGAGCTGTGTGATTATAAGCAAGTTATTAGCCATTCTGGGTCTCAATTTATACGCATCTGAAAATAAATGTAAGATTCCTACTGAGCTCATTAAAGGTTGCTGGAAAATTAAATGAGCTAATATTTATCCAGCACATAGAACAGGTCTGGCACACGGTAGACATTTTAATTGGCTACTTTCGCCCCTCTTTTTCCAAGTTTCCACTCCCAACTTGACATACCAAAAGGCACTGTCGTTGGAGGAACTAAAATAATTTATTTGTTTGTTTGGGATAACTGTCAATAAACTGCAGTGTCAAACTTCAGAAATTTCTGACATTCAGTAATTCAGTCACTCCTTCATTCAGCTACTACTTCATTCCCGCCTAGAATGTGCAAGGAAGGCTGCTGGCATTAGGGAAACCAGAACAATGAACCAGTCCCGTAAGATAATTTTTCTTGCATCTTGAGACGATCAAGCCCCTCTACTAAGGAGTTTTCAATTGCTTGCCTAAATATTTACTCTTTTCTAATTCCACCCTAATTTACCATTTCCAACAATTTATAACAAGATAGATCAGCCTCCTTTTACTGCTTTATTAATCAGATATAATCCACTGTTTTCCAAGTGGTAACAATTTCTATGCACAAATAAGTTAGTCCAAGAAATTTAAGTTAATTTAAAGAAAACAGTAGGAAAAAATGTTACTCTTTTCAATTCTTCTGTGTTGCTTTTGAAGGTAACACTTATTTTGCCCAACGTATGGCTACTTTTCCTTATACAGAGTACATTCTTTTTATTAGTCTTGCTTTCTATTTCCTATGAAATGATCAGTCACATATGGTTGTGTTTTAGAATCATAAAGCATAATCATAGCAACACTGAAATATGAAACTATTTTCTAGTGTTAGTAACGCATTCCACAGACAATATAAAAATCTACAAAAGACAGTGAAGGTCAATGGAGAACACAGGCAACTGTAAGTATATTACAAATATTTATAACACTTTAAGTTCCACTTAGGCAGGAGCCGTACTAAGTGGTTTTATAAGTGACGTGCTGTGCGCTGTCAGTCACTTTTCCCTTCTCCCTATTTCACACCGCTTACCTCCCCAACGAGCATTTCATATATAAGCACACCAAGGCCCCACCAATCGACAGCCCTCGTGTAGGACGTTTCTGTTAACACTTCTGGGGCAAGAAATTCAGGAGTGCCGCAGAATGTGCTTGTTCTGTCTCCATATCCCATTCCTGCAAAAGGTAAAATTTAAGTATTTGTTAGCAAAGGAAAAAATGAGCATGAAAGTTAGAAGGTGTCCTTAGGAAGCAAAATTAAAGGTGTGCACTTGTGCGTGGTGTCCAGACTCAAGACACAGCAAGGACTTTTAAAGAAAATGCTAAGGACTGGTAGAGAAAACTGTGCAACAGCAACTCATACTATTTAATTAATGGGTAAAAATAAATACATAAAGTTTCCATACTTTGTTTTATTATTTATTCTTTCTATATTGTCATTTCTTTACATTTACATTACAAATGCTACACGTGCTGCTAGGAAGTTAAATTTAAAATAGTATGCACTTATTTTGATTGAAAATCTCAAATGAATTTGTAAGACTATGGGAGCAAAACTTGAAGGGCATAATTAAATACAATAACACATTAAGATAGAGGAATTCCCCCCCTAACATTTCTTTAATTTTGTCATATTCTTTTTTTTATTTTCAATGAAATGCCATTTTAAAAAATAGTTGATATGATATCTATATTAGTTCTACACAAGCCTTTTAAGTGACTTGGAGAAGATGAAGAAAACAAAGACAGAAACAAGTAACATTTTTGATTTTTATGATTTTTATTTTCTGCTCTGATCACATTAATTAATCCAACTACTTATGAATTAAACCTTCACTGAGTACTCAAGATGTGCCAAGCACTACACTCTACGCTATGGAAAGAAAGCTAAATAATACGAGGCTACAGAGAAGAGGGGGAGACAGACAATGTTC